CAAAAAACTGTGCTTAATAAGAACGCTCTACAAGACGCTCAAGCGGATTTAAAATCATTAAATTCAAAACTAAAAATCTTTCGAATCATATTGTCGATAACTTCAAGTAATGCGTCCTTTAGAGAATGGTGTTTGCGTATTACAACATTTATTAGGGGCTACTTACAGTGCAAGAAAAAATTTTTAATTTACCATCAATGCTTTGTTCGCCTTTTTTTATAAAAATTTGTTTAAATTATTAACAATAACGAAAAGAGACTAAAAATTATAAAATTTACTACAATTAATAAAATTTTAGCTGTCATATTATAATATTAATTTTTGAAAATAACAAATTACAACATACAGGGTAGTAACAAAACTATTTAGCAAATTTTCATAACAATATTGTCAAATCATTTAACGAAAATAAAAATATAAACGGCTTAACGAACGAAAAAGTAAATACGCTTGCAGTATATTGTTTATGCTCATTTATAAATACAGATACATGCGAACAGATATATATACAGATTGAGCAATACAAAACATAATAAAATATAAACGTAAAAGTGTCACAAAATTATTTAAAATAGATGTTGTCCTTGAAAAAGAAACTCACTGACTGAACAACTGATTGACACACAGCTTTATTTATTTCTTATTTTACTGTAGTTTTTAGTTAATCTCTACTTATAAGTGGAAGTAAAGTAAAAATAATCGAATGTTTTACAAGAAAGTTGAATTTCTTTTATATACATGAAAATTGTGTTGTTGTATTACATAAATTATAAGAGCGAAAAATTTGAAGAATAATTTGTGATACAAACGCAACATAATACGAGTATTTTTTTACTAAAAAAAACTGCTGAAAAATCAATTATAAATAAAATAAAGTACCTCTGCTAATGTAAAATTTTTAATTATTAAAAATTAGCTATTATTGTGAAAAAAATATTTTTAAGATTTCAAGTATAATATACGAAAATTAATATAAAAAAAAATTAAGCAAACAAAAAGGACCTACTTCTTCAATATTTTTTTTATATTATTATAAAATAATCTCGTACAATGGAAAATAAATTGAGAAAAAAAATACGAATTATATCGAAGTTGATTCGATTGAAGCAATTCGGGAAATGTTTTTAATGCAATGGCTTTATACTTATTAAAGCAGTTATGAATTTGATTAGGGCGATTATGAATTTGAATTTGTATTAAATCGAAATTTTTCAATTGTAGATATGTATATAAAAATAGAAATCGTTGATTGATTACGACCAAATAGGTGGTTAATTACGACCACAAGAAAAAAAATTCAAAAAAAAAGTTCATGTGGGCATATGTAGAATTTTATATTTTTAATAGAAGATTCAATAAGTATAAAAATTGACAAATGAGAAACATATGTACTTCGGTTTACGAGTAGTATGAGTAATTTATAATTATCCCTGTTTAAAAAATTGCAAATATATTGTTTTTCGATCTATAGCCTGTTGAAAAAAAGGGTACCAGACATTTCTTGCATATAAATAAGCACTTATATCTTCGGTAACAGTGCGACATACAGTAACCTTCTGTAGCTAGAAAACAAGTATATACCGGATGCAGCATCTCGCCAAACAATTTTTTGTTGAAAATTGATCAAGGAATCATCCCTTAAATTATTTGCTACCTTATACGAAACGCCCTGTAACCCCCTAAACCAGGTTTGATAATTTGTTTTGGCTAAATTTTTAACTACAATCAAATTTTTAACTGAAAAAATGTTGAAGGATTTAAAATCCAACAATATAATTCATTTCACAGCAAAAGTATTTCTAGGTAATATACCATAACATCAATACAAGATTATGTTAAGCTGTCGCGGCCCCTCGAAGGGTACACATAGGCCAACTAGTTCGGATCTCTCCTTTTCTGTCTCTCATTTGAACCAGCAGGAGGTCCTCAAAAATCAGCTCAAACCCCAAACGCTGCCGTTCACTAAGTCCGCAGCGCGTCCGAAGAAATAAGACCCAAGAAATTTCCGCCTGGAACCCACCAGCATCGGACATGAGCATAGAAGGTTGGTCACCGTTTCCTCCACCCCTTCGACACAGCACCTCCGGCAAAGATCGTTTTGCAAGGCGGCCCATTCTCCTTGCATGTTCGACAATCAGGTAATGGCCCGTCAGAACCCCACGTCACTGATATCCTCTCGACTCAGAGAGATCAGATCCCTTGTGCAACGCAAACCTAGCTTTGGCCACAAATTCCTAGTCGCAGTACACCTCCCTTGGCCCATCTAAGGTTGCTGCCCTCCACTGCCGCGTTGCTCAGCAGCAGCCTGTGGGTGCTTAGAGGCATGCGCGGGACTTCCTTTTCAGGTGGAATCCCAAGGGTAGTTACATGTCTCGCAAGCTCGTGGTCCTTACAGTTCCACAGAATCCAACTATGTTCGGGGACCCAAACCAAGTTTATTTCGAACTGTCGCGTTATCTCGTTAAAAGAAAGAATGTGGAAATCTCAGAACTGAATGCTCTTATCGCGGCCTGGCTGCCAGTAAAAATATTCACGCTACCAGCAGATACCACATTGCAGCCAAGTTAGCGCAGAGCCTCCACAGTCGCAACCACCTCGACCTGAAAGACACTACAGTGATCCGGTAAACGGAAGGAGAGCTAAACATCCAATTGCTCAGAATAAACTCCCTCACCTACCCTGCTATCGAGTTTGTATCCGACCAAAGTTATGGAATGTAAAAATTGGCGGATCCGCCCTTATCAGCTCGCTCTCTCAGCCAGGCTTGCCTAAGCGGAATCGAGGTCCTAAAGCTTCTCGCTAATGGGAGCACCAGGGGAACGAAATCAATTGTTCCCACCGGGTTTCCCAAATCCGCAAGAACGGAAGCATGTCCTCTTCCTAAACGCGCTGCAGATCCCGCAGCCATCTGCCGACTCAGTAAATCTAATGCCAGTAGATGGAAGAGAATTTCAAGTGCCTATATATTGGTGGATACCCCACCAATGCAGATTACATTGTAGCCCTCCTCCTCCAGGCATACCAGTAATTGATTAATCACCAAATTCTAGAGAAGAGGAGAAAGTACACCTCCTTGCGGGTTGCCCCAACCAACGGAGTGCTTAATGCATGAGCCCCAAAGCTGGCCCTGATGGTTCTGCCTTACAGCATGTTGCCTATCAGAACGCTCAATGCATAAGCTCTCAAAGCTAGCCCTGATAGTTCTGTCTGACAGAATATTGCCTGTCAGAGCGCTCAGAGGGCCATGAACTGAGAGTCCCAACAGCGTCTGAGTTATAGCCCACGGCTCGACATTGCTGAATGCGCCCTCAATATCCAGGAAGGCAGCCATTGTATACTCTCTACAGATCTTTCAATATAGGGCAGGGCCGTTTCCGTTGACCTCCCTTACCTCGGATTAAGGTTACTCCTTATGTATACGTCTATACATATATAACTTTTCGAATATGTTTAATAGAAATGACGTTAAACTGACAGGTCTAAGATCCTTTGGGCGATGTGAGAGCTTCTCCCAGTCTTAGTAATGAAGACCACCCTAACAAATGTTTATTTCGCCCGTAGTAAACGTCCAGTTGCTGACGTATGATTTCTTTCAAAAGTCAGCAGGTTTCGCGTACGGTCGAATGAAGCTTATATATGAAATGTCAAGTAAATTTGTTGAATACTTTCTTGAAAATGAAAACAGGTCCGAAAAAAAGTCCAGTTCCCGAGGCCTGATACATATCCCAAAAGTTGATTAATCCGTGCTCCAGTCGAAATAAACCTACATAAAAAATTTCATCAAAATCATTTCAGCCGAACTTAAGATATACGCGTGCACGCACAGACCGACAGTTGCTGTTTGTTTACATTTAACTACCATGGAGAAATGCGTTCCCACCAAAACTTCGATATGCAAAATTTGTTGCCACCACATAATCTACTTTTGAACTTTAAAAAAACAAAATGGTCATTAAAATTTACCATTATTTAAAACCCGTTTTTTCAAATTTTTAGATATCGTGCTTTTTCAAGACCTCAGGTTGAAGGAGCCTGAGTCCTGAAATAAATTATTTCGTTAGAAATTTTTTTTCACCTCCAATTTCTTTTTTCCAATTTCTGTAAACGCAAAAAGCTAACGGCAAAGCCGCGGCATTAAAAAATATAATTATTTTTCTTAACTGAAGCAATTAAAATATAGCATTTATGTTAACGCCTCTTTAATTTTTTTTTTCTGTATTTCAAAGATTACATATATTGCTTATCCTAAATGTATGCAATTTTTGAAATATATTTAAAATGTATTAATATTTTATTAATATTTTATTTTAATATATTTCATTAATAATATAACTTTATAAATAAAGGAATTTTAATAATGTAGTAGCTACATAGATTGTTTTAAAAGTAGTATTGTAGTGATTGTTTTAAAAATAGTGATTCAGAATTATCCCATCAGAACGAAATTTAATAAGTATACCTCTTTTGAATATTAATCAATACCTATCAAGTTAATATAAGCGGTAATACGAGTAATTGAATTAAAACTTTTAACAAGATTTTAATTGCTGTGATTATAACAGAAAGAATTATCGCAATTTTAATTAACTGATATAACTATGTATATTTGTATAACTGCCTCTTATAATTATATTTAAAAAACTATAACCCACCGAAAACTCGATATGCAAAATTTGTTGCCATCACATAACCTACCTGTTGTATACACAATACGGTCGGTAAAAAGGAGTACTGGAAATAATGAATTCTCTAATATCCATTAGAAAAACGGATAATTTATTGAACTAATTTGAAAGTGAATAAAAAATGAGGCGAGATACACGATCAGGCTGCAAATATTTTATTGCAATTCAATTCAGACAACTGCATGGACCGCATCTGTTGCATTTGGCACTTATCTGAAACAAGCCCTAAATGAAGACATGTACTGACTATAAATTTTACAGAAACAAGTTACAATTTACCGCAAAGGAAGATAGAAAATGCCATACTAGCCGAGCTTTCTATTTGTACATACATACAGAAATATATGTACATAAATTAAATTACACAAATTTTTATTATATTGACAAAATTTATTTTTCAAGGTAACTTTAATTCTAAAAATTTATTATTCTGACTGTTTTTGACTAAACGCAACTTAACACACGAATCGCAAATCCCAATACACAATATGTATCTCTGAACTAGCTACATATGTAAATATTATGTAAAAAAAAATCAAGTAACCTTTTATCGTATATGATATATGAACTTAGTCGTCTAACGTAATGTTAAAATCGTTTGACGAACCTAATATATCGCCGCCAGCTTTCGAATCTTCAGTTATATTTTTAAGGTTTTGTTCCTTATTTTGAGTAAAACGACTTAAATCAAATTCAAAAACATCCAAACTCTTTTCATCTTTGAGTATATCGTACGAATAAGCATGCATGAAATTGCTACCCAATTTTTGATTTAATATTTTACGTCGTTCTAAACCTTTTGTAAAGAATTCACTTATGTTAATATCTCCAATGCTAATTGATCTTTCAATTAACTCATCAGCTTCTTCTTTAATTTTTTCAAACAAATCTACTTCTAATAAAATATTGTCAACATATTCTTCAATTAACTGAGATCTGCTTATATCCTCTTTAATAACTGGAAATATTCTAACTCTTAAAGCTGCAATGTCGTCGTCAATTCTAGCTAAACCTTTTTTCAATGCGATTTTTTTACTTCTTTCGTATGCTAAACGTCGTTTTTCAATTTTTGTCTCAATTTCAAGCTTTTCAGCATTCATTTGCTTTCGTATCATTAGAGCTTCGAAAATGCGTTTCATATTGATTTCCTCCCATTTACGTTCTAACATTTCGGCTATCTCAAGTGCACTTTTCTTTTTCGATTGTTCCGGAGTTCTAATTTTTTTCATGTTTTAGGAAAATATATTTTAGTTATATTAAAGAATATAAATCTATAAATCTAGGGTTTTTTATCAGAACATGATATCTACATTTTTGACAAAAAAAGTTATGAATGCAGTATTACTTAAAATTTTAAATGTTTTCCAAAGCAAAAAAAAAAATTTTAAATAATTTTTTCAGTAGATCTAAAAAAAGGCCTTGAAGAACATTATAACTAACCAATTATTCCAAAAATTTGAAATTTCAAAAAGACAAAATTAGATATCAACCGTTATTCACTTTTCGAAATCCTAAAATTAGGAAGTCTTTGAAATATAGATATGTTATGTTATACACTTTTGAAATGAAAATGTATACCATATTTTTTTTACCGCTTCGTTTCAAGTTGAAAATAAAACATCTGCACATATTCGTTTCTACATTTCATATTGAAATGTTCATGTTGGTTATTTTCACATAAGTCAAACACACGTTAAAAACATTTCAAACTAGCTAAGTGAATTTATTCATTTCTAGTAAGTTGATACTAAAAGCTATTGGAAAAAGTGTATATCCTCTTTGATTTAGAATTTTAACACTACATAACATCTAGTAGCACCATTTTAAAATGCTAACTTTTTAAACCATCTTCAATAAACTTTCACTAGTTAATATTTTGAGTTATTTTTATTTTAACAAGAATAACGCAAAAAAATTTCAATGGTATCTTACTCAAAATGACAAACATGTAGATATTATGTTCTGACAGAAAACCCTGGAAATATTCATTTTCCAAATCAATTTATTAAAATTTAAGAGATTTAAATTAGAACTCCTTACTCAACTTCTTCTCTTTGAAAATCCTTTTTTTTTGCTTTCAACTCTAGTTTTCTCAATTTTTCTAATTCAATTTTTACTTCATCTTCTATCAATTTTCTTGCTTCAATTATGTCTTCATTTTTTTTATTCCATTTTTTTTCCCACGTTATTAATTTTTGTTTCCGAAACATTTCTTTATCAATATATTCTTGAAGAAGCTAAAATACATTTGTATCTGATTCAAAAGATCAATATTTTAAGAAAAAAGGAAAAACTACCTCTTTCTCATTAGGACATGTATTTTGCAATATTTTTGGCAAATTAACCATGCGAAGACATCCAACATAATCACCAACTGCCATAATTTTGTTCGGCACTTTTGGACGATGTTCTGCTATTGCAGTTAATATACCACCACCAAGCATGTCAGATAAAATAGGTTCGTCATCTCTAGCTGTAAAATATTTTTTCATAAAATCAAAGAAATACTTTTATTCCCGGATTTAATAAATACCTAGTATATCCCAAGCTTCAAAATTTCCATCATTTCTACCAATGTAAAAAATAGAAGGTCTGTCAACACTCCATGAAACTGATGTTAATTCACATGACCTTTTTCTCCATAAAATTGGGGTAACAAAATAATTTTCTCTCCATATAGCAAAAACATACCTACCGATGGTAATGAAAATTTCTGGGAAAAAAAAGTTTCGCTCTAATTGTAAAATAGGACCATCGTGTACATTTGCATATTTTTGAAATGTTGAAACTTTTTCTTTATTTGATTGTTCGCCGACATCATCAAAACCATCCCAATACAGATGCAATATATTACCGAATAGGCTGCAAGCTAAGAAACTTTGTTCATTTGGCTTGATTTTTTTATTTGGTTCATCATACTCTTCAATATTTGTTTCGATTACAAGTTGCCTTGCTTCAGTTCTATCAATACGTGATACTTTAATTGGAAATTTTTTCATAATACTTTTTGGCAATTTGTCATCATAATCTGGTTTATACTCATACAATCCAATATTAGCAAATTGATTACTAGTTAAAGCTTCTGTTGTACACACCATAAAAACCGGCTTAAAAACTCTATCATATTTACGAAACGATGATTCCATTGCTGACAGTGTAGGTGGTAATTTTCCTCTATTTGGTTTGGAATTTATTTTACGACTTAAATCAATATCCAAATCCCAAAAAGCTATAGAACCATCAATTGAAGTTGTTATAAAAAATCGATTTTTTGGTTCAGATGATCTATGTAATTTCCCATCGACCGTTATATAAATATAACGATCTAGCCAATCAATTTTTGTTACTGCATTACTATGTGATAAACCAATATCACTTGAAATTGTTTCAGCCAAATTCATTTTTTCATTTGTTGTCTTAGCCCAATCTAAAAAATTCATCATTAACAGTCGATATTTTGTCTGATTTTGTGATAACATTTCTTCTTCATCCAATTTTTCAATTTTATCCATTAAATCCCAAAGCATTATTTGACCAGTAATACAACCACCAACCAAAAACTGTGGTGAATAAGGACAAAATGACAATGATAATATTTCCCGTGGGGCGTAACATTGTAATTTATATTTCAAACTATCTGAAAGGCTCCAAAATAATACTTGGTTCTTATCTGCTATAAAATTTTCTATCGGCTCATTAACTTAAATTGAAAGGAATTTTAATAATTTCTTCTTCTAATTGTTAATGTCGTCATATATATACTTACTATCTATTACACCACACCCCGGAAAATGCGAGTAACAGCAGGCAACTAAACCAGATAAAGCAGGATACCACGAAATTGAAAGTATTTTTTGGTGCAAAGTTTCTTTTAAATCAGTAAAACATAAAATTTCTTCTAAATATGGACATGTGTATCTTGGGATTGGTTTGGTTGAGATTAATGAGTAATCATTTCTAAAAAATACAATTACAAAGTTTAAAATATTCAATTTCAAATAAGCAAATAAATATTTATTGTTTAAAGTTTAAAAAATTCATATAATAACTTGTAAATATAGTTTGTCAAAATTTAAATTTAAATAATATAAAAAAAACAACAACCCTGGTATCAAATTTACCAAAAGGAAAATAATAAATTACGAATTACGTTCAATAAAAACAAAGTTAAGAAAATTTAATTGAAAGTTGTTAAAAATTGTTTGAAAATTCTTATGAAAAAAAGGGTTGTGCAAAACAAATACCAATCAATTTGATTTTTAACGAACCGACCCTAACTCCAACAATGTACTCGTATAGTTGTAAAAAATTATCGTGGGCGAAAAAGGAGTTGTTTTGCAGCTAATTGAACCGAGCTTTCCTCAACCTTTATATTGCAAACTATTTCTAGGTGGAACACTCGACACCTTTTTTCTAATTTTAAGTATGTAACCCTATTACATCAGCGTGGGCAGAAAAGGAATTGTTCGATGGCTCATCGAAGCCTCCATATTGTAACATACTTGTAGGCACAAGGCTTGACAACATTTACTAAAATTTGAAGTATGCACCTTGAATAGATTCGAAAGCATCATATTATGACTAAAATATGTAGAGTTTATGAAGTTCAACATTCAACAAGAACAATAATTTTACTAGGATGTCACTGCTTTTTGTAATGGCAATATTTTTTTTATTTTGTTCCATTCTTTTTTGTTTTCGTCTTCAGAGGTGCAATTTATGAAGTATAGAAACGGTTGAAGTTATATTAATTTAATGGGAACCTCCTTATATAACAGCAGAGCAGATGGATGACGTAATCAAAGGATCGAGTTAAAGGCAGAAAAATTAAAAAAATTTTCTCCTCGAACTGAACTCGAACGAGTGACCTACCGCTTTCTAGGCGGACGCTCTTCCAACTGAGCTACAGAGTTATGCAACTGAGCTACAGAGAAATCGCCGACGAAATGTTCTGAGGTTTATATTTTATCACTACTAATACTACTAATACCTCTAGCATGAAATCTGAAAAGTTCAATTTTTTAGAATATTTTGTTGTTTGTATGCTAGCATTTATTTGCATATCAAATTTTAGCTTCCGAGGACTCAATTTTGATTAAGTTTGTTTTGACTAAGAATTTTGATGATTATCAGTGAGTAATTCAATGATGAAATCGGATGATTTTTAAATATCAACAAGAATCTAAACCATAATAGCTGTGCAGCTCAAACTTTATGATATGTATGCTTCAATTATTCAATAATTAGTCTATTATTGACATTAAACTAGATCTTGTCAATAGATTGTGCCGTCGCTTGATAGATAATTTGTTCCATCATCCATCAAATGACTGCTGAAAGTGAGAATTAAACTAGAAAAAATATTAAAACTTCTAAAAATTTCCAGTTGAATTTTCAGTTCCATATCAATTTCGCTTTTCGAAATTGTTTTAAAGATGAAACTAAAACTAAAATTGTTAACAATAATTGAAAGTGTTCAGAAAAAATATTAAGATGCAATTACATAAACAAGGTGTCTCGTGTCTAAGTGTACGCTATATACAATTGTATAAGCCCTCCTGATGAGACAAAACTTTTGTAAGGAGACGATGTTCGTACCTCAACAGGTTCGGAGTTACAGAGAATTTCGTAATTTTTTAAAAAATTAAAAGAAAATTAATTTTTAAAACGTGTTAGTTTTCTAGGTGACGTAACAGAAACTTTCTCCAATTTCAACCTTGTCAACTGCTACCTGTCCTGGTTTAGGAATTATTGAGAAAAATAAGAAAATGTCATTTTATACTCGTACCAAATTATTTTCTTCAATAACTTAGAAAAAAGTACAAAAACCGTTCAAAATGGTGTCTCCTTGAGAAATGGAGAAATGTTCAAATCAAAAACAGAGTTTAAAAATAATGGAGAATATAATATGGTGCCTTTCATTCATACAACCATGTAAATCAGTTTTGAATTCAACAATCTTTTGATAAATTAATTTAATAAAAAATTTTTCGCAAATAGAGCACGAGTAGATATTAGTAAAGAAATTTCTCTAGAATAATTCTTCAACTACGTGAAAATTCAAACTTTTGAGAATTTGTACTAAAACTACAAAAGCCAGAAGTTACTTTTGCCATCAGTAAAAAGACTATAAAAAATTGTTCAGGCTGTCAAAATAACCATTCAAGTTAAACGTTATCTCAGTTGCCGAATATATATAAGAAAAATTTATATCTTATATGCATACAATATAATAATGTTTCTTAGCTACAAAACTGGAAACTGGTTTTGCTTATTTACATATGCTTGAGTCAATAGAAGTTATACTTCTATTGGGTGCTTCGCATAACGCAGCAAATAATTTCAGGGATGATTTTTTGATCAAAAAATTGTATATATTCATGCGAGCGTGCAGATATACTCATTTTCGATCTACAGCCTGTTGAAAAAAAAGGAAAACAATTTTTTCTCCATATAAATATATAAATACTTATAACTTTGAAACCATGCGACAAACAGTAACCATCAGGAGCTTGTTTCACAGGCGATTGATTGCTATTTATTTTAGGCTTTTTAAAAAATTTGAAAAAACGGGTTTTTTCGTTGGAATAGTGGCCCTTTTACAACACTCGTATATGAGGTTAAAATACATATTTTTAAGAAACTATCAAACTACTTTTGAAGTTGCATGACAACTATTGCAGAAGTTTACACAATTACAATCAAATTTCAATGGAATAGCGACTCCCTTACATCAGATTCATTTACATGAAATTTTAATAGTGTTATCTTTACAATTCCTAAACTATATGACCACATTCTTTTTAAAGTTATTCTATATCGATTATAAATTACTACCATCACAATTACCTATACATATCAATTTGATTAAAATTTAATATTTCCAATAAATTTTCAATATTTTGAGATAATGGTGGTGGGGGTTTCTTAAAAGTTACTGGGGTACCTTTGCCACTTCCAGGCCTTGATTCTTCCTCTTCAGATGTAACATCAAGTCCAGTTTCTAATAAATATTTGTAAATTTTTATAACAATTTGCAACATAATGTTAATCAAAATTTTGTAAATTCATTGTAATAAAAAAAAAAAATCTGATGTGGTCAGCACATAACCGACCGCATTGTGTATTGTCTAGTTAAATGAAAGTGTTACAGAATATTATAAAAGTGTCTGTTAAATACTTCTTTCCAATTTTTAGGACATTAGTAAGCTTATAGTTAACATACTTAGAAAAATGTAAATTTGGCTTTTAGTAGAGTTTCGCTTTGTGCTACCCGAATTCCCTGAAATGCTCGCCAGTTAGTTTCGGTAACAACCAGAACTTAAATATCAAATTTCAAGAAATTTCATCAATTTGTTCTGTGGATATGGTGAAAAATGTAAAAAGTCTAACTGCCGATGCCTGATCTTTCCAAAAAATTTACATGTTCATTGTTTTAATACGGGGAATTCATATATTAAATTTCAATGAAATCGGTTGATTATTTCTCTTTATATACACAAAAATGTATATTTGGCCCGTAGTAAACGCCCAGTTGCTGATGCCTGATTTCTTCCAAAACATACGAATTTTTGCGTATGATCGAGCAAAGCTTATATATGAAATTTCAAGTAAATCGGTTGAATACTTTCTTCAAAATGGTGAAAAATGTAAAATCGGCCCGCAAATCCGTTTTCGAGCCCTGATCTTTCCAAAAAATGTATATGTTCATTGTTTTAATACGAGGAATTCATATATTAAATTTCAATGAAATCGGTTGATTATTTCTCTTTATATACACAAAAATGTATATTTGGCCCGTAGTAAACGTCTAGTTGCCGATGCCTGATTTCTTCCAAAACATACGAATTTTTGCGGACGGTCGAGCTGAGCTTATATATAAAATTTCAAGTAAATCGGTTGAATATTTTCTTCAAAATGTTCAAAAATGTAAAACAGGCCCGCTAAAAAGTGCAGTTCCCGAGGCCTGATATATATGGTGGAAACAAACTTACATATAAAATTTCATCAAAATCGGTTCAGCCGAACTTGAAATACACGCGTGCACACACAGACCGACAGACCGACAGGTTGCTAAAAATAGTTTATTTACACTTCCCTACTATGGAGAAGTACGTCCCCACCGAAAACTCGATGTGCAAAATTTGTTGCCATCACATAACCTACCTATTGTTTTCACAATACGGTCGGTAATAATCTGTGATTCGAAATAAAGAAAAAACTCAAATTAGTAAGAAAGTCTAATTGTTGAAATCGCCGAAATGAAGCTGTAATAAACGCGATTAAATGTTGATTCACCTTAAATATTATATCTTATTTTATTTGAAAAATTAGGTATTTAAATTTCCGTAAAAATCGCAAAATCTTTAAATTTACTATCTACACCTACTGCTTTTTGATTTTAAAAAGTACATGTCAATTTTATTATAATAATAAACAAACCTCCTTCCTCAACCTTGAAATGATATTGTGTCCATGCATTTGTTGGAAATGTTGGATCTGTTTGCTGCTCTAATGTAATCTCTGGCGACTTTGCTTGTACAGCGACACTTATCCTCTTACGAAAAATATTATCAAATTTCTTTTCACCTGGTATTAATTCAGCATAACCGTCACGTACATCATCAGCTTTTCTCATTGATAAATTATCTGAGTTATACTTAAGTGGAAAAACACTTTGCATTTCAACATCAATTTCTTCATCTCTTGTTCTTTTTGTTCCTAAAATAACCTCTTTTTCACTACCATGCGAATCCCACTTCAAATGTGGTTTTTTCAAATAAATTTTTTCTACAGCCCACTTTTCATATTCTTCAATAGCTTGTATAATTTCTAATGCTTGCTTGATAATATCTTTTTCATAAAAAACTACGAATGGATCTCTTTCATTTGGTTCTTTATCATTTTGTGTCAGTATTGGTATGTAACCAATCAAAAGCAATGCATCCATTTTAGTATTTTTATATGGTTTAAGCAATTTTTTTCTCTCTTTTGCATCATCAATAACATCAATAACGTTTTCTAATAAACTTCGACATTTTATACGTTTCCAAGCGTACTCTTGACTTAAATTAACACCAACAAGTATACCCATTTGTTCTTGTACTTCTGGGCTATATTTATTAAAGAACAAAATAAAAAAATAAATGAATTTCATTTATAAACAAATAAGACTCTAATCAACATACTGTATCATAAAGACTTGCTTTTCTAAACCAAGTAATTCCTCCCAAGCTTGTTTTAAGTCAAAATTACGAAATTTTTCATCTTGTTCGTCAAGCGTTAATTCATTTCCATAATTTCCAAATAATTCAGCAGGTGCATTAGGTTCTCTATGAATATTGTTTAAGATAAATTTCAAAATAAAATTAAAAAACTTACATGACATCTTCTTCTGTCAAATTCAAATGTTTGTTTTCCTCTTCAATTCTTGTTGTAGGGTCCGCCATTGTAAATATTTAAAACAATATTTGATATGAGTCGAAATCCATTTAATTTCTGGTGTATATACATATGTATGTACATACATAAATTAAGTATCATTATGAAAAAAAATGAAGGACGTAAGATTTTTAATAAAAACAAAATTTGTAATATGTAGATCTATTTTTAGGCTATAAGCAACTATAACTTTGGATCTATGTTCTGTACCTGTTACCTAAATAAAATTTTTTGATCTTAACTTTTACTAACTTTTATTTCTTCAGTTCAATATTTTGCTATTTTTTTTTTGTTTTCTAATTCCTCATCAAATGATCTCTTCAACAATTTAATTGTTTAAATTAAGTTAATTAATTGTTAATTAATTTAGTTCAGGCGTAAACTTTTACGCGATTCTACTTCAATCTCTACAGAGGACCTTAACGCAAGCGACATTAGATTGAAATATTTTTTGATTGGAACTTTCTGGAATACTGAATTGAAAAAACTTGATTGTCAATAAATTATTTTTTTAAATTAAACTTACATATTACATACACTACATAAAAGAATATTTTTATAAAATGTAAAATTTTTTGAATTGATTGAATGGGGTCTAGCACTTCAATTGAAAATTTATAGAATTTAACAGTGGATAACTACATTACTTACATGCATAATGATTTAAATGTCAATTTTATTTAAAATAAATTTGTAATTTACCAATACACACATACATATTTAATAAAAAAAATAATTTACATACATACATAAATGTCCTTAAGGCGGAAGGGGGCAGACCACAGAAAGGCAGCGGCTGCATAAAGTTAGCCCCAGATCCCCTTCGCGCCACCTACTGTGGCCCGGCACCCAATATACCCAGCACAAATGAGCGTGACTCTGTTCACCGATGCCAATTCCACAAGTACAGTAGGACAGTCCGAGATCTGCTTGGATGTAACCTGAGCCGAATGAAGTGCCAACTATGGCGCCCTACAACCCAAGAACACATCGATAGTACGTTTTTTATGGCCCCTTTCTAAATTGACTCTCAACAGATCTCTATTGCATGTAGTTCGGCCTGGAACACCGTGCGATACGGGTCGTATATATGCGCTTGTCCGGGGGGACACCATATACACCCGATACAGTATTGTCACAAATAAATAAGAAAAAAGTTTCACTTGTTTTGATAATTTGTAGTTTACATATAATTTCATCAAGAAGTGAAACAAATATAAAGATTTGCACTACTATTCGTGTAATACATACTTACGCATGTATGCGCAATTTTGTACAGAATAAATTGGTTACCATTTCTATGTGGAAAAAATCGTTTAAGCTTTATAAATTTCGCATAATTTAGGTTGTGAGGGAAGAAGTAGTGGATCGAGACCCATTCAAATTCAAAACTTTTTGTTTTGTTTTTTTTTTTAAATTTGAGATGACAATTTTTTATTAAATAGTGTGTTTGTGGGAAGTGACCGTCAATCAGTACTTTTATACACAATGTATAATACCAAATAAATACTAAAGAATGTAAAATGTTATGTGTGTGAGACAATATTCTGAACAAAATTTATTAAAATAATAAACATTCATGAGTATTAATATAACTGATAAGACTTATATTATATGCATATACATACATAATCTTTAACAAATTCTGTTTAAACAAATAAATATTGAATAAATTTGCTTACATATATATATATATTGATATTTACAATATTTTCAAGTTATAGTTTAAGTATGTATTTGCAAAAAGATAAAGCTTCTTTTTTTACCCCAAAACATTTTACTTTTAAATTTAAAATTTAATGACCACATTATGATATTCATTTCCATACTGTGTGTGCTATAAGTTTTTCCTGTTCTATCATTTTTGAACTACCGTATTACTGATAAGATATTTTTAAAAATTAAACACAACGAAGTAGGTAAATAAAAATAAAAATGAAAAAACGCCACACGCTTTGAAATACAAGCTCCAATTTTATGTGAAAAATGCAGTGTTATATGTACATGAGGCGACATTTTCTATGACTACAATATCAAAATTTCGACTTGAATAGCCCTATCATCAAACCAATAGGATAAGATCAAAAACTAAAATAGGGCTTGTAGAAAAAATCTTCAGAGTCGGGGGACTGATTTTCTCAAAAAACTTATTGTTTCATTCTTTTAATAGAACACAATACCACATATAAAATCTCGAATAGATACGTGTATTATTCCGTGAGATATACGATTTAGTAATAAATCATTCAACAAAAATTAATTTCCTGGAATCCACCAAATCCACAAGGTGAATTAATAAGTAATTAATTTGATTTAAATCGCTTTAGCTAAAATTGAAATGATGTGCACATACTGATCTATTTCTCCTGAAACATTTTTGAATGTCAATATATAAACTTCCCAAGTTTGAACCTTTGAATTTTTGTTTTCGTCTTCCACCTTTACTCAAACTAATTGTTACATATGTACGTAATATACACATATAATCAATATTATGAAATTATTAAAATCCATCCATGATTTGCTGAAAATTATGCATGTGCATATGTACTTAACATATTTGACTAAATTTATGTAGTAAAATGTTTATTTGTCATGTTCGTTTTGTACAGTACATGCCTAATACTGGTCAATGCATGTACAGTATGTAGTAATTACGACATTTCTTAATAATTACAGTTACGCAGTAAAGAAATATGTTTTTTATGTAATAAAATTTTTAAGTAGTAATCTTGTTAGGACTAAAAGATACATTGGAATTTCAAATCATGTGTTCTTAGAATAGAAACGAGTTAACTTTATTTTATTGTTGTATACTACTGTAATATTGAACACATTAAAAAGCTGTGGAACTTATGTAATTAATTATTACGTTTTTTTAAAACTCAACACTAAAAATTAACACTAAGAATTAGTCACATATCAGACAATCAATATGAGTTATACATATGAGACATACATATGAGTACATACATACATATTAAGAATGCTATGTAAATCCAAAAAGTAAAAAAATTGGCCATTATAAAAATTCTGAACAAAAAGCATAAGAACCTCATTTAATCATCATAACATAACATAACAATGCAGAAAACAATATTAAATTTAAAACTTTTTAGTTATGAATTTTTGATAGCGCATTAATATCGTCTTTTTGAAATTTGATCTGCACATATGTATAATAAAAAACGTTCTGACATATTTTATTTCTCGTATAGTTTTGATTGTTTTACTTCACTAAAATCTGTCGCATTTCTCCAAAATTTCAGATTTCTATCTTAAAGAGGTGGAACTATTATAAATAGATAAAAAGAGCGAAATTAATTGGCTATTTCCAAAAATTTTTAAATGTGCGTTAAAATGAATAAATAAATAGCACGAACCAAATAAATGATTTCACATTTTTCAAAGTTGTAAATAAATGCCAATTACATGAATTCTCGAAAAATGTAGACATGCATTTTTTAGAATAAAAGCTCTTTATGTTTTCAAAATTTTTAATTATCTTAAGTGAATTGTTGTTTCATACTACCATACATAAAATTTTCATATTTATATTTGTTTTAAAAAAAAAATTATTCGAAATATTATATAAAACAGTGCTACAATTATTGAGGTTTTTATTTACTTTCTAATTCAATTCATATCATTTAATGTCAACGTTTGTATATATGGTTAAAAACATTAACACTCAAAGATCGACCTTACTATCACGATATTATCCATTCTCAAGAGTTTTCCCTTTACATAGCATTATAATATTATGATAATCATAAACAAAATCGTGGAAATTTGATCCTGACGACTCTAAGATAATCAATTTGTATGTTTTTCATTTATTATATACTTTTTAACAAAAAACTAATTAAACTTATTAAATTATGTATTTTATTAAAAAACGTATAACGAAATTAAATTTTTTGTTTCAACTTTACCTATTATTTGCTTATATGTCATTCTTTGAAAACTGTTTATTATAAACTTCAATGTTGCCAATAATATTATGTCATTTGTATTATGTATATAATTTAACCTATAAATTTATCTCTAATCAATTTTATCGTTTTATAATAATTGTTGTCTTTCTTGAAGCCAGAAAAATATCAAACGGTGAAATAGTGAAGCCAACAGATAGGGGAATGTTTTTATTGTATTACCATATATCTTGATACCAAAATCAGCCTTCACATTTTGTATAAGGTAATTCATTCCCTTGTCTGGACACACAAGCAAACCCTCCCGATCTTACATAGACACCTGCTCAAACTGTAATTAAATTTCAAGTTTTGGTTTAAATTTGACTCTTCTTTTCACAATTTACTTCCAAAAAAAAACCCGAAACTTTTAAAGCTGGTGAATATAAGTTAGAAGAAAAAGCGTTTTTAACGAAATCTTGTTATTATGTAACAGTTGTTTCGTTACAAATAGCGAAAATTTTAATATCACTTTTAAAAAATAAAGTAAGCCTATACAAAAGTTAATTTTCTTCTGATTTTTCTTAAATCTTTGCGAATTCTGAATTTATATTGCATAGTCATGATACAGAAATTATGTGCCGCTTAATAACAAATTAGTTCCTTGCTCTAGAAATATTTTAAAAATTAAACCTTAAATGAAAATTAAAATTTATAATACCTAATATTTTTAATTGTTGTATGGAAAATCTTATCAATTTTTCTCAATTACAATAATTTTCTGAAATAATTAGTTATAGAATAATTGTTTACATTATGATTATTAAGGGAATACTATAAAAACAATGAAAATTTCATCTGATGTTTAGTTTCTAATGGGACTTCCCATTATTAAGTGATTTATTTTTTTTCATTAACCGGTTTAATAAAAACTTTTTTAAAATGATTTTTAAAATAATTTTCTTTTCATTACTCCTAATTGCATGTAATGCCTGCCAAAAATATGAACCGCGAGCTAATTTTAAAGATTCAAGTGTGAATATTCAATTGAAGGAAACTGAAAATGATGTAAAATTTATGATAACAGAAAAAGGAAAAGTTTTGCAAAGCGTCTTAATTGATAACGGTTATAAAAATGGTAAATTTGAAGTTGATTCGAGTGGTGTAATAAATTTAATAGCATCTAAAAGTACATCTGCACCTTCAATTAGCTTTGAATTAGAAAAAGAAAATAATTTTTACAAAATCCGTGTTTCACGTAACGTCAAAGGAGAACAAACTGTGAAAGATTGTGTAGACTTGGAAATTGGGAAAACATTTTGGTATGGCGGACCACAAAATCGTTTCCAATATTGGCCAATTGAAAGAGCAAACTTTACAAATTTTAGTTATGTATCAAAAGAAGAATTAAATTCAGCTGTACCTGAGCGTTATTGGTTGAATTCCCGTGGTGTATTTTTTTATATAAATGAAACTGTACCACTATTTATTGATCAAAATTCAGTTGAAAGTGAAAATAAAATATGTTTTATTGCAAAAAAAGAATTTCCATATAAAAAAGAAGATAATTTTATATTTAGTTATTTTATTGGCATCGGAGAAAATGCTAAAGAAGCACAATTGAAAGCAGTAAAACATTTTCTAAAAAAGCCAATAGGCATCCCAGATGAGAGAATGGTACGTCATCCAATTTGGTCAACATGGGCTATTTTTAAAGGTATGTCTATAAATTAAATATTCTAAATTCTGTTTTTGCAATTGAAAACGCATTGAAAAAACAAATTTATTATAACATTTCGAAAATTTGCTATTTCAATTTTAAAATTGAGGAAACATTTAAAACAATTTATTTTGAAACTGAAGATTTCTTTCATGAATAAGTTGAGTAATCCATTGCCAAACTATTTTATTTAAACTTTTTTATAGCTGAAGTAAATGAAACGAATGTAAAGGATTACGCTAACAAAATAATATCGAATCAATTTAATAATAGCCAATTTGAAATTGACGACGATTGGGAGGACTGTTATGGTGCCTTAACATTCAGAAAAAATAAATTTCCTGATATTAAAAAACTTACCGATTGGCTAAAAGAAAAAGGTAAATACATAAATATGTATGTACATGTATGTCTTAAATTCCTTTAACAAAGAACACAAGTATTTATTATTATATTTAAAAAATATTTGAAGGTTTTCGCGTGACGCTGTGGATACATCCTTTCATTAATACGAATTGTACAGAGATTTTTAACATTGCGAAATCAAAGAAATATTTAGTAACCGATGATAAAGGTGAAGTTTTAACAAAGTGGTGGAATAGTAAACCTAATGAAGCTGCTTATATTGATTTTACTAATCCTGAAGCAGCGGAATGGTTTTATAACAGGGTGAAACGTTTACGAGACCAAGATGGTATTGATAGTTTTAAATTTGATGCCGGTGAAACAAGTTGGATTCCGAAAAACTCTAAATTGACTGGACCAGCCAATCAATCACCGAATTTAATTTTAGCGAAATATATTGAAACTGTTTCAAAATTTGGTAAAATTGTTGAAGTACGTTCTGCACAAGGTACACAATCATATCCAATATTCTTAAGAATGATTGATAAAGATACTGATTGGACTTGGAATAATGGTTTACCTACCCTGATAACAACTCTGTTTCAATTGAATTTGGGTGGTTATTCATTTATTTTGCCAGACATGATTGGCGGTAATGGTTATAACAATAATACACCAGATAAAGAAATTTTCATACGTTGGTTACAAGCAAATGTATTTATGCCAAGTTTACAATTTTCATATGTACCCTGGATGTATGATGCCGAAACAATTAACATAAGCTTAAAATATACAAAATTGCATGATAACATTACCAATTATATAATGGAACGATTTCAAAAAGTTGTGGAAACGGGCGAACCAACAAACCCACCTTTATGGTGGATAGATCCAGAAGACATAATTGCACAACAAATTACTGATCAATTTTTGTTGGGTGACAAATATGTTGTAGCGCCAGTAATTGTTAAAGGCGCTAGAGTTAGAGACATTTATTTACCAAAAGGAACTTGGAGAGATGGAAATACAAATGATATTCATATAGGACCTAAATGGATTATGAATTATCCTGCACCAATAGCAACCTTACCGTATTTTGAAAGAACTAATTAAAAACAAAAAAATATATACATAGTGTAAAATGTAGAAGTAATTTAATAAATTATACATAAAAAAGTTAATAATATAACGTATGTACATGTGTTCATATTTAGATGACTTAGATCCTAATTAGCAAATCATTGGCAACTCGCGTGTGGAATTGAACATTTTCATATTTGTTTCATATTTATTCTACTTATCCAAAAATTTTTAAGGAAAAAAATTTAAAAATTTTTTTATCTGTAGAATTTAAGAAAGAATTATTTTAGTTTGCTTATCACTTGCATTTATTTTAATAAAAGCCTAAATTTTTTACCAGAATGCAAGTGGTGGTGTAGTAATACAGTTTATTTCAAGCTTCGTACAAAATGAAATTGTTTTTTCTTTTTTTTACTTCATTTGTTCTTTTCTTCTTCAATCTCATTACAATTCACAAATAATATTTATAACAACAACAAACATACAGAATCTACAAATATTAGTACAACAAGCATAAAAAAGATATAAAAAATCCCTTTTTTTTTTTATTATGATCAAACATAAAAAAAAGAGTTGTGAATCTTATTTTCCACCACAAATTACGTTAAAAATACTTACCGAAATAGACTGACGAGTGAATTTAGTACAGCTTGTATTTTATTAAAAACTCCCAAATACGAACTAGATATAAAATACCTAGTAAGAGTATGAAATAAATAATAGTTTAAAGCTTTTCAATAATGTTAACTAATAAAAATTATAATCTGTACCTAGGTTCGATTTTGTTTTTATATAAGAACAACATTAGTTTTCCCTTACATTTAGAAAATGAAAACTTTCTTATGTTGTAAGAAAAAGCAATTCATCATGGTAACAACTTGCAGTATTAATCAAACTTTGCAACTTAAATAAAAAATTTAATGCTTACAATTTTTAAAGATTTTTAATTTTCCAAGGTATACTTATGTTTACACTTATTATAATTATGTAGTTTAAACATTTTGCAGAAGCCTCGGTGCATTAAATTATATAAATACATATTTATGCACATACCTACATACATACATCCACGGGTTTCTAATTTCGAAATTCAAGATTTATGTACGTTAATGTAAAGTTTGCAGCACACTTACGTTTATGCAAATATTTTTAATTCAACTTTTATTAATTTTGTTTTTTTTTAATAAAATAATAAATTTATATTAATATAAATAATACAAATTTTTCCTTTAAAAATAAATATTAAAATTCCTGTTGTCGTTTCTTAATTAAATGCTTATGTATACTTTTACTAAAAATTTCAGGCTCATTTCTTTACGATATTTCGATATTACGATTTTATTTATTGTAAGTAAATTTCGTAGTAATGGAAACAGCAACGCATTTATAGCAAAATTTAATGCGACATCAATAAAAAATGAATTTTAAATTTAAAATTTGTTTTGAAAATCTCTGTCAAACCATATTTTGTAAGCTTAAAACTATAGATTTGTTTGGTATAAAATTTTAAAAAACCAGACAAATATTAACATAAACAAAGATTTTTTACTTTTACAAAAAATATTGTAGATGTAAAAGTTTTGTGAAAAATAAAATCTTCTAACATAACATTACTATGATATACATATTTTGACAGTTTTACGATTTGAAATTATTTTAAAAACACTCAATTTTACTTTACAAAACTTTAATTATTAAGAAATGCTGACGTCATCATTTGTAAAAAAGTAATTTTATAGTACATTTAAAAGTAACTTTATAAAGTTTTAAAAAACTTTGATATATCAGACAAACCTAATGTTACTGTTTACATCAATGAATTAGAAATACGCTGTTACGACTTTGACAATGCTCGGAGCAAAGAAAGAAGCAACTAGAAAAAAAATTGGTTTCATTGTTTTTTCAATATGTTCCTTCCTTTAGTATTTCTAATTCGTTAGTACACGTATTTGACAAAATCTACGAATGAAAAAAATTTTATTGACTTTGTAAATACATATTAACTTCGTTTATATGGCGGATCGAGTACTTAACTTGAAGTTGCAGTCGACATATTATAATCTGTGCAGATTGAAATAATATTACTCGGACTTGAATTTGACATTAAATAACTAGTCTGACGGCAAATTAATAGAAACTTTCTATTATATTGAATTCTTAAGACTAAGGTACTGTTTACATATACGTCAAAATCTAAGATAAAATTGTATATAGAATCTGGTAACTGTTTACATATTAGACTAAAATTGTCTGATGCCGCTCAGACATCAAAATTTAGTAATTTTGATTCGCAAATTTTACTGTAAATATTTTTTTTAAAGTTCTTTTGTGACTATAGTTATTGCAAGTTTTGTATTGCGATGTTTATGCCTATAGTTAAAAAGTTTTTGAGTATTCCGAATAATTTAAGATAAATTTCGAAATGGTTGTGCTCTAATTTAAATTAAGTTACTGGGCTTGTTAAAATTATACACATTTATTGGCCATTTCAAATTGTTCAATTACGATAGCACTAATATAAACGCAATCACATCAAACAAATGTCATTTTTGAAACATCCATTCTTATTCTTATATCGTTTCACTTTTATTGTTTCATTTCAGTTCAGCCCAATATATTCAATAAAAATCATTAAAAATTTACTATTAGAAAAAATTCAATTTTTCAAAGTTACAAGTGAATTGGATATGATTCATAGTTTAATTTTTAAATTAATAATTTACTTGATTGAAGAAAAGGAAACTTTATAATTATTTGAAGTAATCAAAAAAAAAACAAAGGTGAGCTAAACCGAGACGTTTTTAGTTTCAAAAATGGCTAGTGTTAAAAACTAAAATTGTGTCTGGTGCAAATGGCTTCTTTTTTTCGAATATTGATTTTTCAACTTCGATCATGTTAATTGTCTCTGGAATATGAAAATTCTTTATTTAGTAAATAAATTTTATAATAACATAGAGAATATTATGCATATTTTACAATAGAAAAGATATGTATGACATCAGCATTGAAATTTTATAAATTTTCATCCATTTTTATTGATGAATCAATGTGTACATTATATAGGTACACAGAAGTTAGTATAGTGTGTAGAACAGCGTATAATATGTACATATGTAGCATATATGTATGTATATTGATAGCTGATGCGAATTCATAAAATTTTTACTTATTGGATATTGAAATATTTTATCATCTTAAAAAAACAACAAAAAATGTAAGATTTTGGAGAGTGTCTATAAAGTTGAAGCAATTTAAAAAAATAAGCAGTTTAAATCTGAAAAGGGCAAGTGCATACAATATATTTGGCATTACTTTGGAAATTAAACTTAAGATCTTAATAAAAAAGATAAGTCAAATTAGTCAATGAGTTTAAATTTTCCTTTTGAAACCAAAAATTTCAACTTCGAATATGATTTGCTAACACTTCGCAAAGCAAAATTAATTTATTTAGTTTAGTTTCTTTCATAAGTAATTTATGTTATAAAATTTGAATGATATTTAAAATCACCAATTAAGTGAAATTAGTTGATTTTAACTTTTTCCTCCTCAATGTTTTAGGTTTTCATAAAAGCCATTAGCGGAGCAGTAAACATTTTGACTAGATCATATTGCTTTTAGTATATTTCATTATAAAATTAAAGCAACGAAGATATTGAGTTACATTTCAACTTAAAAAGAGCATTCAACAAAGAAAAATTAAAAAATAGTGTTAGCAAAAAATTTTTAAAAAATTTCACAATAAAAATTATTTTGAACTATCAATATAAAGACACAATGGAGCACAGTTACTCAAGAGATTGCCGTCCAATAGATGGAGCTAACGGTTTGAAAACTCGTAATTTAATGATACATCGTCCGCCTCAATGTCCATCGTGTCACTTGCATCCAAATGATGAAAATAATGATCTTGACGAAGCAAATCGTCCCCCAACGCCAACTTACAATGAAAAGAATGCCAAAGAACTAATGACTGAATGTGCAAGAATATCAAGCAGTGTTCAAAACTCAAACCCAGATAACGTTAATTGGGAAAATTGTATTAATATGACACTTTGGACAAATGATCAGACCAACTTATTTAATAAAGTTGCAAAAATATTAGATATAGATTATTTAGCACGATTAGCTACTACTGGCAAACAGAACGAAGCAATTCAAAAACGATTAATTGTGGATAAATCAGTAAAACGTATACGAAAAGTATTTGCTAAAATTAATTGGGAGATGCGCCTTACACAGTGGCTACATGAAACATTAATAAATAATTTACCTTCGACATATATGGCCGTGTATCTGGATATTCTACAAACATTGAAAACAAAACTGCCACAATTAATGGATAAAATGTTGTTTGGGAAACCAATGAATATTAGTCAAGATTTGCTGGCACCTGTAATGAAAAAAAAATGGGAAATCCTTTTGGACAAAAAGGAGCGTAAATTACCTGGAAATGTTGCCATTGTTATCATTTCTTCTGTACACCCGTCAACAGGAGTAATTTCGAATAGAATGAGAAATTGGTATGAGTTGTTTTCTACAATGGCTCAAGTAGTAATCGTAAATACTCCAGCTGGTAGCTCTGTGAATAAACAACCTTTACAACAAATAACGGAATCCCTCATTCAAGCAGCTAAAACTAAAATTCAAGAGCTAAGAAACGAGCAGCCAATGCTGAATATTGTTTTACTTGGATTTAATGCTGGTGCCGCGGTAGCAATACAAATCGCGCACACAGAAAATGTAAATTGCGTAGTTTGTGTGGGATTTGCGTGTAACACGATTAATGGAGTTCGTGGTGCCCCAGATGATCATATTTTGGACATAATAATACCTATCATGTTTGTTATAGGGCAAAATTCAGCTAGAACAAGCCAAGAAGAAATTGAAGCTCTAAGGGAAAAAATGAAATCAGAAACGTCATTACTTGTTGTTGGATCGGCGGATGATGTCCTTAGAATATCCAAAAGCAAAAAGCAAATCGAAAATTTGACGCAGTCTATGGTCGATAGTATGGTTACCGACGAAATTCACGAGTTTATAAAGTCTTGCATTTGTAAACCACCAGGACCACGAACACCGACTTCATTGATTGGAAATTCATTCCCTCAAAGTGGAAATACAAATCAAGGGCGAAAGTCTAATGCTAATACTTCGTCAAATTCCAACTCGAATCAGAATAGAAAACGTAAACAAAGTGAAGATCACTATAGCGATGAACAAATAACACCTATGAAAAAACATTATCACAAATCGGGACAAGTTGGTCGACCACGCAGTCGGCCAGGAAATAATGTAACACCAGTAAAACAACAATCGCGCCGTCAATCTCCAGAGCCAACTTCTGCTGAAAAGTTGAACATGGCAATTCATACAATTTTACAGTCACCTCGATCCGATGAAATTAAAACCAAACCCGATGATAATGACACATCAACTTCATTCGAGCAAACTGTATCTCAAAATTCAACGTCAAATTATTCCAAATTGCCTATAACTAGTTCACCACAAGTAACCACAATATCTACATCTGGAACCAATACTATAACACAACGTAATCCGCAACAAATTCAACCTACAAAGCTGAAATTTGTACCTTCTAATCAATTTGTACAATTAAAACCACCAATACAAAGTCAATCTAAAATTTATACTATTAAAACAACATCAATACCAGCGAATTCAACTACAAATTCATCATCATTAATCCCAGTATCTGGTGCTCGATCAAATATGTCGTCCTCAGCTGGCCAAGTTCAAATACTTCCAATTAAGAGCCCAACATCCGGCCCCTTTTTAAGTAATTCCACAAACCAAATAATTCTAAATCCGCAAAAATTCACGATTTCGAAAGCAACAACTGGAGCTCAGGAAAAAACAGATATATCCAATATTTTTGATATGCCAATTCTGTTTGCCGATAATGAAGGTAATCTTCATGATTCTACATCGAAATTGTCAAATGCAAGTAATACATTATCTAGCGGTGGTCAAGCAAAATTACTTACTTTGCCAAGTAATTTGGTAATTAAACCTCGATCTTCAAACACTCAGCAAAATAATACTGCTTTAAAAGATAACGTGAGTGCAATGAGCTCTTCTCAGCTGTCATCTGGCACTTTTGTCTTAAACCCTTCAACAATTAATAAACCCAAAATATCTGGAGGCAGTGGAAAAGTTGTTTTCATCAATAGAAATACTATGAAACCCTATCCAAGCATTATTTCTAAGCCGGCTGTTTCACCTATGAAGTATACAAAAGTTGTGGTTACAAATCCGCAAACTTCAAGCACAAGTTTAGTCTCACGCGCTTCTGGTATATTAGATTCTTCAAGTTCTTTATCATCTAATATTACGCAAGGGGCAACAATTTCAATATCTCCAAAACAACAACACCTTCAAGTTAATAGTACTAATAATACTGGTATAGTGAAACAAATTCAGCAAACATCAGGTATTTTAAATTGTACTACGACAGCTTCGACATCGAGTACTACAACAAATAAACAATACCAAGTTTTATTAAATTTAGGAAGTGATTCAGGTGGTACAAAAACTACCCAATCGCCTGTAAAAAATGTAATTAAAATGGATGCATCTCAAATTAATCAAACAATCCTTCTTAAAACTGGAAACACTGTGAAGCAGATGCCTTTATTAAGAACTCCACCCACTTCTATAAACAAAAATTTATCAATTAAAAAAGTAATGAATTTTATACCAAGTGGTAGTGGAGTAGGAAACAATAGTATAAAAACTGCTGAAAGAATAACTTCTGGAGATGACAATGTTATTTCGACCATTACGTTACCTAGAACTGGCCTGGTTGTTCAACCAGTTACAACAACATCTGTTAATAATTTAATCATAAATAAAAACCAAAAAAAGTATTCATTCAATGTTAATGCAAATGTAAAAGATACGAAATAAAAATTTCTCTGAAATAATTCTGAAATATATTTAGTCTTTTAGTTATATGGAAATTTTTATCTGTATTCGTAAGATTCTTTTAATCCAAATTTTATTTGGATTAAAAGAATTTTAAAAAATTCTTTGACATTTGAATGTGTAAGGCCAATCTAAATGTTAAAAGGATGGCAAAAAATAAAACATACATTTTGCTGGAAAAAGTAAGGCATAAGAAGACCGCCAGAATTCTGTCAGTCAGATTAACTGTGTTTAATATTTTTTTTGTATTCTACTAGAGAATATAATTTTCTACGAATGTTGCAACGAATAAAGTAATTGTAGTTTTTAAACCTTTCTAAATAGGCAAGGTTCTCACATTTATCTGATTAATATGCATTAGATGTACTAGATATTGCCGTTCAATTGCATCAGATAATTTCTTTTTTATATCAAAAATATTTGTAGTTAAGTTGAACACTTTCATTTTAAACCAAACTGAATAATTATTGTTAGTTTTTTTTTTACCTTACAGGTTTAGTAAGCCAACCCTTTTTTTTCTAATCAAATTACATTTTTATTCTGAAGCTGGATTTAATAAACCGCAATACAAAAATGGATAGGAAAGCTGAATTAGAAAGAAAAAAAGCCAAACTGGCAGCTATACGAGAAGAAAAAGACCGTAGAAGACGTGAAAAAGAAATAAAAGATTTAGAAGAAGCTGCGTCACGATTAGGAGTTCCTACCGATAAGGATCAGAGAAAGTATAAAATTAAAACTTTTGAAAAATTGACATGAGTTTAATTCGCTTTTATTTTAGAGACTTAGATGAAATGCTTTCACAACTTGGTGTTGCGCCTGTATCTGAAGTATTATCATCATTGTCTTCAGTGAATTCTGTCACTTCTGACACATCAAATAATCAAACACCAGATGGCAGTCTTCAAACATCACATGTAAATGGACAAAGGTACTTCATTTTTGTTTTTTTTTTTGTGTTAATAATTAATGTAAGATCATTACATTAATTATTAACACAGCTGTTATATTATTTAATATATACATATACATGCATATATTAAATAATATAACAGCTGAGGTTAAATTTTTATTTACTTTATTAAGTAAATTACAAAGGGTTTGTAAGCCCAAATTCAGTAAAATTTTTATTTAAATAATTAAGTTTATAGTGGTGACCTTTATAATATTTTGAGGGTAATCAGATTTTAAAAATAATAAAAATTTTCATTTTTGTTTGAAAACTATCATTGATTAGTCTCGTTTAATTTATTATTTTGGGTAATATAACTAATTGACGATCATAGAGTTAATAACATAATCGAATCTAAAACAAATATAAAATAGATATAGCACCAAGTAATATTGTTGAAAATTATAACTATATAATTTAAGTAATTTTAATTCAAGTTTATTAATGTATTATTTTCTTTTTACCCTTAATTATTATGTGCATTACATATTAATACTTATTCGCTATAATAGTTATTAAGATTTCTTTCAATATTTTAATAGAACTTTTTACATAAACATTTTTTCATTTTAGATTTTGAATAGAATAAAATAATATAGTAATCTTTAAATTTTTAGTGTTGCTCGCAAGAAACCTGTGAACTTAAGTGTTGTTAGTGTGCAAACTACAAACATTCCACCAAAAGAAGTTGTTGTCTATACAAAACAAACTCAAACAACTGTTTCTGGTCATGAACGTGATGGTACGTATAGTTTTTTAATGTTACATATTGATATTATATTGCCTAATATTGTTATTATTGTTTTGGTTTTTTTTTATATTATTTTCCCCATTAATCTTATTAATCATGTTTTATTATCAAATTATATCCTTATAGTTACTTTTTTTATGAGAAGAAATTATAATCAACTGTCTGTTTAACTATTGTTATTATATTCTTCTATAAATGTAATGAATTAAGTTTTATCTTGAAATTATGCTGAAAAATTCTGATAGGAACTATTTTATTTTTTATATTAACAACTTTTTACTAACAACTTTTTTTTCTAAAGAATCTATTTTTACTAAAGAAAAAAACAACCAAGTTTCAGGACATATTTATTTTAATATCCTATTTAATTTACTATCATGTATAGGAATGATAATTTCAAAATATTTTCGTTTCAAAATATTACGTGATGTGAATAAAGTAATTCTTCATTTATTTATTTTAAAATTTATAAATATGAAAAAGTAAAATAATGGTCAGTAATAACGCTTATCTTTAATTTAAAATTGTAAATATCCGTATGAGAAATTTTTTAGTAATAAAAATTCAATTAAATTAATGACCAAATATTTGGTTGTTTTTTTCTTTATCTTGAATTAAAATTTAATGCATGGTTGCTGTAACTTAATATTCTACATTTTAATGGAATATTGCAATATAAACCGTTACGAAAGCTGCAATTTAATTTTCGACACAAAAAGTAATTAATTTATCTTTTTACATATAGCATGCTCAGTTTAATGCACTTCAACCTTTTTTTTATTCCAACATAACAAAAAAACCTATCATAAAGCTTAATTTGCTTTCTTACACTATTACTGTCATTTCAAAACCTTAGCAGGTAAGAAAGGACTTTATAAATCATAAAAAATTTAAAGATAAAAAACAACAATATGTTATAAAATATGAGATTTCAAAAAAAGAAAAAAAAAATAAGTTAGTAAAGCAATAAGGAATTTAAGTGTGTTCCTTCACAGACATCTTTATATTATAAGAGTCTATGGTTCGTTTTAATGCAAAACTTGTAGATTTATTTTTTTCCTGTATTTTTAGAAACATTATCTTATTTCAGGTAAAGTTTTTCCAATGAACAGTTTTCGATTGGTTGTTTTTCAGTAACACAATCTTTGCAATTTTGTTTTATACGTAATTGAAAAACATTGAGTTCGTTTGTGTATAGCATATACATATTTGATATATTGTTAAACTTTTTTATTTTTTTTTTTTTGTGGAAACGTTTTACAAAGCATAAAACTTTTTGTGAGGTTTGCCAGCGCAGTAAATATTCGATTGATTACTCAAAAAATTTGAGTTGCTTCTGAAAATCATTGAGTAAATAAAAAACAAGTTTACATATAAATTATTATTTAAAATTGAAGAAAATATAATTTTTTTTACTTTGATTTTCTTATTTCTCACGGTTTTAGAAGTTCTTATATTATATTTTTAAGGCATTTCATTTTCGATTTCCAATATTTAAGAATTTTTTAATTCTGTTCTACAAAATAAGAAAAAAGTTTAATTTTTTTTAACAAACAATGCAAATATTTTCAAAAACAAACTTATGTTTGTATGTTCCTCTAAAAATAAGAGCTGTTTTTGAATCTATTTATTATTGCGAGTTCATAAATTTTTTAAAAAGATTTTTAATATTAAACATGTTCCTTTAAATCAGTTCATTGGAAAAACCTAAAATTAAATAACGATTTTTCTACACATTCTCAAACTTTGAATATATTGTGAATACGTGATGGTGTAGGCTTCTTTCAATTGCAACATATCGCAAGTTACTTAACATATTTTTTGCACATAAATATTGCCGTATTGCTTTAAACAAAATGTAAATGAAATAATTAAATAAAATATTTCATAAAATAAATAAAATACTGTACGCATTTGTAAAAAATCTAGTCAAAACATAAAGTTTATGTCAAAATTTAAAAAAAAAAAAGTATTTTAAATTTCATTTTATTTTCACACTCGTAGTTATTTTAAATTATAAAAATAAAAGCAATATCAAATAAGTAAATATGTATATTGTATAGATCTTTTATTATGAACCTTCAACTCCATCCTAAAATAAGTTCTTACTTCAATCTAAAATACAATTTTTTCGTTTAGAATCAAATTTTTTTTATAAATATTTCTTGTACAAATACATGCATAAATATGTACATATGTATATGTAAATAATTGAACAAATTCAGAAAATTTAGAATATATCTACGTATGTATACAAAACTGATTCTGGATTGTTGAAAATATTTAGATCAACGATTCTTAAAACTGAATTCAAGGAAACGACATGAATTTGGGGGAAGAATAACTAACTCATATCCTTTTCATTTTTTTCCCAATCTTCAACTTTTTCGGATAAAAACTTACATATATATTATGCTGTTTTCCTTCCCATGAAAATATATATATGAACAATTGATATTTTTTGAATCTCCATCTTTTTTGAATATTTGAAAGTAAAGGAAGCTTATTTCAGTTCATATATTTTTCTTCGTGCTGTATACGCAACAATAAATAATTTTTTTCGTATTATAAAATCTTGTAAGAATTTTGTGAACAAAAAAATTTAATTATAAATGAAAAAACTTTTATTTTAGATCAACAATTCAATTTTACCTTCTTTTAAAAAAGTTTTCATTTGAAAACTTATTTCTAAATACAAAGTTAAACCTTATAAATTAATGTACATAATTTTAAAAGAACTTTAAAATTTTCAGTAAAAATTTAAATTTTAAAGAATTTTTAATTTACGTCTACATAATGTTACTTAAAATTGAATCTTATTATAAAATCACATAAATTTTGGACATGTTTTTTTGAGAAATAAATTATAATAATTTATAAAAGTTAGGTAAAAAATATATCAACCTATTCAAATATAAAATTTTATTTTGAAACATAATTTATGATTGCTTACATACTGTCGGTCAAAAAAGTTTTCATACACCTAAATGATTCATAATATTTTTAGCTCTAGATCTTAAACCATTAAAGATACCCAATTTAACTTTTGTATTTTATTTTTTATAGCTATTATTTCTACATAGTTATAACAAAAAATAATTTAAAGTTTAATTTAACAAAAAAAAAAAATTAAAACAAAACAAAAAATTGACAAAAAATAACATCAAAACTGTATTCACACACCAACATTATTATTCACGTTATTGCAAAAAAAAGTAAACAATTTTTTTAAATATTTTGTTGGGTTGGCTTTTGCATTCAAACAATTTTTCATACTGCCAACTAATTTGGAAATTTC